GCGCCTATAGAAAGGCCAGTTGGTGATGGGATATTGAATTGAGGCCCGTAGAGTCCACCGCACGGCGCTGCTATACCGGGTTGTGCTTGCAAATTTGTTGTCGGTACCAAAGGAGGCCCGCTTGGTGCTTGGGTAACATTTACTAGTGGCGTAACAAGATTAGGTACGGGCAGAGCTCCCTTTTGCGCTATCATGCTCCTCATGTTTTCCTGGACACCAACAGTCGCCGGAGCGCATTCATTACACCAGAACCTCTCCTAGTCACCATTGGATCTTGGCTTGGCACGCCATGGAGCCCGGGCATGAGCAAACTACTGCCGCCTACTGCGGTTTGAGCATATGTTACTGTGGCCGTATTGCCATAAGCCATAGGCTTATTGGGCCCTACTTCTCCTTGGATTTGATTTTGCACTCCGGCGGGAATAACTCCATCACCCGTTTGATTTCCGTTTGGCGCCAGTGCAAAATTAGAACTCATCACCAACATGGTGTGAGTGAGATTTTGAAGAGTGGTAAGAATCTCCTGCTAAGTATTTTGAAGTCCTTGAATGGCCTCAAGCAAAAGTGGTTGATCTGGAGCCATGGTCCTGTCATCACCACCATTAGAGGATCCTTGTTGGTGAACTTCATCTTCTCCCGCCATCCTTGTTGGAGTTATGTGGATTCCAGATCTCGTTGAGACCATTAACCAACCCGCCTCCCCAGTAAAGTCGCCAAAATGTAGGAGAGAGTTCAAGAAAGGAGTTGGAAAATTTGAAGATCTTCGAAGATCTTCGAAGATCTTCGAAGATCCTTGTAGAACAACTTCGAATTCTCTAGAAGATGATGAGAGGCTTAGATTCTTCAATAGTCTCAACTCAAGAACACAAGAGTAAAGGAGATGATGAAAATAAAAGTTTGGGTGAAGAAGAAGGCAAAGTGGCTAGAGAGAGAATAATGGCAAGACTCTCCCATGAATCTCCCACTTTCACTCTCAAGGTTGATAATAGAGAAGGGAAATTAGTTCTTTCCCTAGAGTTAAATCTCCAAAATCCCTCCTTTGTAAAGCTATGGGTGGGTGCTATTTATAGGCACCTCATGATGTAGGATAGAGCCCGTGTGCAAGGCACATGGGGAATATTCTCTCTAACCACCTTGTCCGAGGAGGTGACCTCTCCGAGGATGAGGAAAACTCCGAAGAGGAGATCAACCTCTCGGCGAACCCTTTTTCTTAGCCACACCTAACCAATGATCCCCAATCATTCCAAGGGGCCGAGGTAGTCCTAGAGGACCCCCCCGCCACAAAATATTGCCAAGTCTCATAGACCCCCCGGAGTCGTGCCACATCGACCCGAGTATAGGTTAGTTTAACCGAAGAGTGAATTTATCTCCACTCACCGTCCTCAGGATCAGGTCCTTTGTTCGGACTCCATTACGTCCATGGTTCTGGTACGTAGATCCCGAAAAGCTTCGAGTCCGCAAGTGTTCTGGGACTCATTAACGGAGCGGTTTCTAGATTGCGTCTGAATCCGTTCGAAGCCAAGTGCTTCGGATCTCTAGGTTCGTGGATCCGAACCCTTTCGAGTCCGAGCCCGAGTAAGTTTTTAAGTTCGTGGATCCGAACCCTTTTGAGGCTCGGGGCGATTCGACCCGTTTGACGGCGATAAATCCAGGCCCACCAATCTTGAACTTGTGGTAAATTCGGGCCCACCAACCCTGGACTATCGGGTCTAATTAATTTAGTGGGCCCAAATTAGCTCCTCTTATAGGCCATTTGTTTTGGGAGATAGAAAAAAGATAGAAATTTAGATTGAGGTAGGATTCACTAATGTTATGTTTGTTTTGAGAGATAGAGAGGAAATTCATAATCTCCTCCAGATTAGGATGGGCCTTGGGGAGGGGATTAAGATGCAGACTTGGGACTTAGTACTAGAAAATAATCTGTCGGACTATTTTTTTTTAAATTTTTTTTAGGCATTTTTTTTTGAATATTAATGTTTAATTTTTTGTATTTTTTTGTTAAGTAAAAATCATATTTTTATTTATTTTATTTTATTTTTTATTTTTTACATGTTGGGCAATTTTTTTGAACATTAATGTTTAATATTTTTGTATTTTTTTATTTGTTTTATTATTTTATATAAAAATAATTTAACAATCCATACACCAACAACTATCATCAAAATAAATATAATTTTATTTAATCCCCTCACTAACAATTCTCTTACTATTAATACTTTCACTATGAACCTTCTCCATTTTACTTCTGAAAACAAACGGCCCCTAGAGTTGACGACGCATCAAATATACCAAGAGGACCTTTGTTTGCTGGGCCTAGCCCAGCCCCATCGCATTAACTTAGACGCTGAGCCCAATCAACCATTCAATATTAGTCTAATCAATTAGCTAATCCATTCATGTGAAATCAAGAATTGTATCCCTGGCGGGCTGACTTGACCCGAATAAGATTTGGACTAGGTCTGAGCCTTGGGTTTGAAATCTGGCCCTATGAAGGACTTATAAATTTGTTTCTCATAATTTTCATTAATGCTGTGTTTGGTTGGGGGATTTGGGGAGGGATTTGGAAAGGAAAAGGGAAAAGGTGTGTGAAACTATGTGAAATATAGACATGATTTATTCACATTTCACCTACCTTTTCTATTTCTCTTTCCAAATTCCTCTCCAAATCCCCCAACCAAACACAGCATAAATGACAATGAGCACCATTGTGACTTTGCTGCTGTTGATGGTGATTGCCCACTGCAGTAGTACTCAAAGATACTCTTCGGCTGTATTTGAATTATGGATTTATGGAGAGATTTCAAACATATAAAAAAAACGATAAATAAAATGTGAATAAAATGAAATATAGCTACATTTTACTTACTTTTTTTTTTTTTTTTTTGCACAATCTTGAAGTCAACATCTTATCACTGTGCCAGTTAACATGTAAGAGGCAACCTGTCAATCCGCCCATTAGCCTATCTGGGTTAAGCCTAGACGATTGAGTCAAAATGGATGAGATGGATATGGTTGAGACTGAACTTCAGGACGAAGTAGCCTACGTATCGCAAGAATGGGAATCAGGTCAACGTAGTTCATGGCTAAGGTGGTGGTGGTGGCGGGTAGGTAGCGGGTGGTGGTGGTGGTGGTGGTGGTGGTGGGTGGATGGGTGATGGTGGCAGGTGGTGGGTGGTGGCGAGTGGGGGATGGGGGGGGTGGGGGGGTGACGGTGGCGGTGGCGGGGGGGAGGTGGGAGGGAGCTCAAGGGGGACGGGGGCAGGATACATGAGTGCTGAAGTATCTTTAAAGTTGCCCCATTTGCCATGTTACTGAAAAGTGGCAAATTGAACAGATGACATTCATTGTCCACTACATCCTGACACCATTCAGTGGGTTGGAATGAACAAAAAGATATGCAGACCGATAATCTCAATCACCCACCCTTCACATTTGTTCACAATTATAGATAGGGACATTCAAACAAATATCAAGAATGGGTGAGTTCCATGATTGAGATTTTCAGTGATCGCAACAGTATTTGGGGTTGGGATTTAAACTTACACCAACCTGTGTACTTTAGTTTTCAAATAAAAAAATGTTTTTTTTTTTTAAAAAAAAAGTCCAATTTAGGCCCCATTAGATAGCGAACCAAGAGAGGTAATTTAGGTACAGTCCTAACATTTGGCATAATTTACAAATGAACGTCACCTTCAAAGATTAACCACAACCTCAAAGTTAAGGTGGCTGTTGATGGTGATTGCCCACTGCAGTAGTACTCAAAGATACTCTTCGACTGTATTTGAATTATGAATTTATGGAGAGATTTCAAACATATAAAGAAAACGATAAATAAAATGTGAATAAAATGAAATATAGCTACATTTTATTTATTTATTTATTTTATTTTTTTATTTTTACACAATCTTGAAGTCAACATCTTATCACTGTGCCAGTTAACATGTGAGAGGCAACCTGTCAATCCGCCCATTAGCCTATCTGGGTTAAGCCTGTTGGATAGGGCGTAGGCTTAAAATTTTGGCTTGCAAATCAATCTAGCTTAGCAAAAATAAAAATAAAAAACAAAAACAAAAAAATATATTGAGCTTAGCCTACAAACAGGCTTGGACACCATTTTCGCAGCCCATCCTGACCTGATGCTAACCCTTATTAAACCTTTTTCAGAGTATGTATTATAAAATTATCCAAGATACTTTCAATTATAGACGCGATTTAAATGTATGGTTCTGCATATCGTAGTGTGATTATAATTTGACAAAAAATTATCCCTATTTCCCTTTATTTAAAATGAAGTGAATCCAAATCCAATGCAAACCACTCGTTTGGTGTGCAACCTATGGATTGATTATGACATTGCTTATAATGTTTGGAGTAATTTTTGTTCACTGCTTAAAAAATAATTTTTTTTTTTAAAAAAAAAAGAAGAAATGCTTTTGAGTTATGTATTGAAATTATTAGTTTTAGATTGCAGTATTCTGCACCAAACTTCCACGGATACATGAGTGCTGAAGTATCTTTAAAGTTGCCCCATTTGCCATGTTACTGAAAAGTGGCAAATTGAACAGATGACATTCATTGTCCACTACATCCTGACACCATTCAGTGGGTTGGAATGAACAAAAAGATATGCAGACCGATAATCTCAATCACCCACCCTTCACATTTGTTCACAATTATAGATAGGGACATTCAAACAAATATCAAGAATGGGTGAGTTACATGATTGAGATTTTCAGTGATCGCAACAGTATTTGGGGTTGGGATTTAAACTTACACCAACCTGTGTACTTTAGTTTTCAAATAAAAAAATGTTTTTTTTTTTTAAAAAAAAAGTCCAATTTAGGCCCCATTAGATAGCGAACCAAGAGAGGTAATTTACGTACAGTCCTAACATTTGGCATAATTTACAAATGAACGTCACCTTCAAAGATTAACCACAACCTCAAAGTTAACAGACTGGATTGTAACTACAATCAGCAACCCTCATTTAGTTCTCAATATTGGAAGTTAATGCAAATAGTAAAAATTATAAAATATAGTAACTAAAATTCAAACTGACTTGAATTTGCCCCCCGCTACCACCCATTTTCTGCCAAAGGTTCAACCATTCACAAGTTTAAAACCGTATTACAAAGTAGAAACTAGTGAATCTGCAAGAGGCATATAGTAACTCCAAAATCATATGCACAGGAATTGTTTCTGGATAAGAATAGTGAATTCCAGTACAGCATGTAACATTTTGATGCTTCTCATTATATTTTGAGCCTTATTGACAGCACAGGAATGCTAGAAAAAGCTAAAACAAACATTAGGGAAATGAAGATTTCACCAACCTCATGACGGCCTTTTTTCATCGTTGCTTTCTTTTTAGCCTTGGGAAATTGGGTTTCATTGGCTGACTTGATGTTGTACCCTGGTCTGTACCATGAACAGGCTGGAATGGGATGAGGGGTGCCTTAGTTGGTGCAAACGCGGTTGCAGTGATACTGCTTTTGGCAGGAGGTGTCTTTCTTTTCAATTCTCTCGGGACCTCTAACCTCTCCAATATCCTCGACGTTTTCTCATCCAGTTGTTGCCTGCTACCATCTTGGGATGATAGGACAAGTTGATCCAACTTTGGTTTGGAAATACAAGTAGGAGAGTATATATTGGGGGCTTCACTGATGATCAGCTGTTCCCATTCTTCTGTAATACAAGTAGAGGATCGGTTTTCTCCCATTGTCAGATCCAATTGTGGAATTTCCTCTTCTATGACTACGACATCTGCTTTTGGCTTTGATGGTTTGGCCTCTTCTGAAGAATCACGCTGGGTTGAGTTCGGTTCATAGTTCACTTCTTTCAAGTTAGGACATACTGACCTGGGAAATTCAGTTACAAGTTAAATGGCTTAGACTGGAAATCATGATTACCAACCCATTCTATTGAGTTTCTAAGTAGTTTCAATGGAGACAAAGGCATCATCTAGAATAGATTAAAACTGTAATTTATGGAACCATCCCCAATACGTATCCCAAATAATACAATTCTGAAATGAGATATAAAAAACTAGGACTAGATTGCTCCAAATATAATGAATTATACAAAATTACAATGCTATGATAGATAAGCATGGATCTATGGCAAATGATTTGTAAAACAAAGGAAGGTTGCAGTTCCATTGGTAACTCAAAAGAAACTTGAAAGTGCCTCCTTTTGTCAATTCATGCAAACAAAAGCTGCTTTTGTATTCAAAGACGACCATGAGACAGGATTTGGTTATTCTGTGGGGAGTTCATATCTGAGGCAATTTTGTTCTGGATCATAATTAACTTCACCACAACTTTCAACAAACTCATAGGTTGAGACAGTTAAACCCAATCTTAGTTGGCCAACATCCATAGTTCAAATTTTTAATCAAATACTTGGGTCCTGGATACCCTCCTTGGGCTGAAAGGACAGTTAACCCACTTTCTCAACAAATTGATCAACAACTCACTGCATTTTCAGCAAACCAAAAACATCCAAAACAGATGGCCAGAATATCATAATACCATTAAAAAATTGCAACCAAGGGACCTCACTGAGAAATTGATAATTGAACTCTCTAGAGCCCTTGTCAACTACTTCATATTAACTTAACAAAATGCCCAGCATATAGTCAACTAAGAAGTACTAGTAAACTACTAAATCAAAAGGTTACAGGAGGCCGTCAACATATTTCTTTCTGGTATAGAAAGGAAGAAGACTGAAGTTGAAAGGAGAAGATAAATACCGAAATTGTAAGCTCTCCTTTACGAGCAAATTAAGTTTTTGATGGAAGCCTCTCTCATGCAGGAACGGATTGTAGTCTCTTACTTCCATCTGTGAAGAAAAATAATAAATAAAATAGGCATAAAAAAACCCATTCTTAGTGCGTACAAATAAAACAAAACTGTAGGCCAAGAGAAAACAAGTCCAAACCACAGAAAGTTACAATGCTACTCTTTCAGGACCCAATATAGCATATTGATAACTCTACACATCTCTTGACACTAAAAATTGTATATTCTCTGTCGATTGTATGTAACAAATGCAGAGAATTAGGCCAACGGATGCTAGGTTTAAAGACCATGAGTTTCAACAAGTTTACAAGTGAAAAGCGGGTGAATATGAAGTCTAGAATATAGAGCAAGTGACAAAAAGAAAATAGTCATAGAGACAGACTTGGCAGTTGCAGTTTTCCTGTCGATTCGTCTAGTAGTGAAGTGGAATGTGGCCAAACATGGCCCAGGCGTCAAGCCATAAAGTTAGCATGCAAGGCATACAGGATACGTGTCACGTTTCCTAGAAGGAGAAAAGCTGTAACAGAGAAACAGTTACTAGCAGTTGCAGAGATCATAAGCATTGAAGTGGAGATAGCTGGCTACATGATGGGACACATGGCAGCAGAGCAGTAGTGGAGTTTGAAGACCAGCAATATAAAAGCTGGAAATTCGAAGTTAGAAAAGATCTTCAAACAAATTTACAACCCTTATAACATTAGGAGTAACTTAACGTACCTAATTCTTACTTAGGAGTAGTCTATTAATACAATTCTCTATTTCTCTTTATACATTAAATTTTCTACAATAACATTAGGAGTAACTTAACATACCTAATTCTTACTTAGGAGTAGTCTATCTGTAGTTCAGTTTCTGTAACTAAGAGTTCTCTATCAATTGTCCTGTACATTGAACTGGAAATTTAATTTTACTGATTAAATTCCAAGTTTGTTTGTTCAACAATTGATTTTCAGTTTATTCCTTCTTGTTTCTTCGCATTATAGCCTCCAAAGAAGTCCTTGAATCTGTCAAGGCATAGAACGTTTAGACCACAATTGCTTGATCTATTGTTGTTTGTGAAATTTTGGGTTTTCTGTCAAATCACATCTGTCGATTTGGCCCAGACCAGATTTTTTGCTAACATATTTTGGCACGCCCAATGGGACCTGTCTAATTTGGAGTGATGGCTAGGAAGAAACAACATGAAGTCTTTGAAGATCCTGAGAAAAGGATCGAAGATGAAGAAGAGTTGAACGATGGAGTTGAAGGAGTACAAGACAACTTAACTAATGGCCATTTAGTGGCCAGGCAAGAAATAGGCCAAGGAAATGGCCAAAATATAGCCAGAACTGGCCAATCCAGTTGTCTACCAGTCGATTCAAGAAGGGCTCTTTTGCTGCATACCCAGCAAGCAATTGGTTCCATGTTAGCATATAAGAACCAAGTGATGATTGATGAATTAATGGCTTTGTTTGAGAAAGCCAACATCAAGCCCAGTCAATCAAGAAAGATTGGAGAGGAAGCACAAGGGAAAAGAGCACAACCTAAGCCCCAAATGGCCTCTCAACAACATGAAAAAGTAAGTGAACCCGTATCATTTTATAGACCTCCCACACTCCAAGAGAGATATGAGGAGGGAATGAACATAAATCCAATGTTTGAGAGGGAACCTTCCACATATCATACAAACCCAGTGTTTAATTACAATGTAAATAATATGGGAATGAGACCTGGGGGGCAATTAAGGCCACAAATGTATGATAATCTTGTATTTGAAGGGCCTGGTTATCAGGCCATGGCAGAACAAAGAAATAGGCTATTTAATCAAGTAAGGCCTCAAGATGCAACGGATTATACCATGCCTCAGCCATATTTTGAACCCTACATGATGCATCCAAGGCCTAGAGGGCCTGGTCCTCCTAATCCTTACTTCCAACCGGAGGTTGAAGGAGGAGGGCAGCAACAGCAACACTTAGAGCCTCAAGGCAACAGACAACAAATAATGAACATCATACAGGAAATGTATGGTCCAGGCTTGAGAAGGCCAGATAGACTAATGCTTAGGAGTCCTTACCCTTTATGGATGGAAACAGTTCCCATTCCAAGGAATTACAGAATTCCTGAGTTTACTTTATTCACAGGGGAGGAAAGACAATCAACCATAGAACATGTGGGCTGTAAAAATATATGTATTATTGATTGATTGATTGTTGTGTTATATTACAAATCAGAGTAGCTCATTATATAGGAGAGGGTTTGGGTAGTAGGTGAGGGTAAATTAGTGGTAGGTGTAGTAGGTGTGGTAGTAGGTGGTGGTAGGTGTAGGTAAATTCTAACATGGGCAGATTCATACTCCAGTGTGGAGAACCTGGTTATGATGATAATTTAAAGTTAAAGCTCTTTCCTCATTCTTTGTCGAAAGTAGCATTTACTTGGTTTATTAACTTGCCAGAGAACTCTGTTCACACTTGGCAAGACATGGAAAATCAGTTTCATGCTCAGTTCTTTAGAACTGAACCTGAAGTGACAATGGTGAACTTGTCAAAATTTAAGCAAAGACAAGGAGAAAGTGCAGAACAGTACATTGACAGGTTTAAAAAAGCAAAAAACCGCTGTCATGTATACATGCTTGGAATAGAAATAATAAGATTAGCTCAAAATGGTTTAGATTTTGAGCTTAGGAAAAAATTTGAAGGTATGATGTTTAGGGATTTATTCGAGTTGTCTTCAAGGGAAACTAGTTATGAGGCCATTCTCAGAGAAGAAGAACATAGAAATGCAGCTTCATTAGGCACTTATTATCAAGAAGTCGAATTTGACATGGAAGTTGACATAGATGTTGCCCAAGTAATAGGTAAAAAACCTGTGGCTTGTGAGACATTAAGAAAGACAGACCAACCTGTAAGCATGCCAGCAACACAACCAGCCAAAAAGAATGTGGCTGTATCACATAGACAATATTCTTTTGATTTGTCTAAAGCAGATGCATTATTTGATGAGTTGTTAACAAATAAGTTTTTAACTTTAACTCCAGGCCACAACATTCCTAAAGAAAGTGACAGAGTTGGCAAGGAATATTGCAAATGGCATAATTCTTTCAGACATTCTACTAATAATTGTGTTACATTTCGCAATTGTGTGCAGGATTTAATTCAGAAAGGGATGTTGAAATATGCCGAGAAAGATAAAGGAGTAATGGCAGTTGACAGTGATCCATTTCCCAGTATGGTGGAAATCAATATGGTGGCTACTGATTAGAAGAAAAAAGGGAAAAATCCTAGAGTTTTGTTGGTGGAGTTGGAAAAACTTCACAAAGAAAGGCTGGAGAAAATGGTAAAAGAAGCAAAAGGAAAAAGAGTTCAAAAGGAACCAAGTGAGAGTTTCATTTGTTTCAGATGTGGTTCTGAGAAAGAAAAAACTAAGGCCGTTGTGATTAATGGGATTCAACAAATTGGAAAAGATGTTGGCCTGAGGTTTAATACTATGGGAAGTGGAGATTTACAAATTTTTGATAACGATTGTTTGTTCTATGATGGAACAGATCCTCGAATTTTTGGACCTGCAGAGAACTATGGTAAGGATGATGCTCCATTCTTATTCCAGGGAGCACCTGTTCATCCATGCTTGGTTGGAGCTAGAAATGTGAGGACTATGCTCAATCAACATAAGGGTTCTAAGCCTTATGGAAACCCAAAGGTTCTGACTAGGCCATATAATGGCCATTAGCAGTAATTGGGTGCATCACATAGTGGCCACCAACAACTTCGGAGGCCATATGGAGGGCATCAACAATTGGCAAGACCATCTGGAGGATATCAGCAGCAGCATCATGGCCCAAGAGTGAGGCCAGAAATGCAACTAGTCCAACCAAGAATGGTGAAACCTCCAATACCATCCCATTTGGGATGGCAAAGAGTGTCACATCCAAAGTTTCCCATGAGTGGTTGGAGACCAATGGAAGAAACAAAAACTCAGAAAATGAGGGAGCAAAGAAGGTTTCATGCTATGATGTCCATTACTGCAGGGGACAAACCATCTAGAAAACAAGACTTAGTGTGGACAAGGGAAGGATTGGTTCCTGCAGTTCCTGCTGCTAAAGGAAAAGAAGTGAAAGGTTCAACTTCTAAAACCCATCCAGTGCAACCAGTTTAGATTTTGAAAAGGAAAATGGAACTAGAAGAGACTGAAGATAGACCTGTGGGCTATGAAGCATGGACACTCCAAAATTGGTGCCGTGGCAGTGTCCGACACGCGGACACGCCGGGGACACGGGAACACGCCTCCGACACGTACGGGACACGCCAGATGGCGTGTCCCTTTAATTTAATAATTTTTTTGGAAGGGGACACGGCGGGGACACGGTGGGGACACGCGTGTCTCCATCTGGACACGCCATGGGACACAGCGGGGCTGTTTTTTGAATTTTTTTTATTTATTTGGGGTCAAAGTATAATATTTATCAAGTTTAAAAAAAAAAAAAAAAAAAAGGGCAAAGCCCTAATCGAACGAGTAAAATCAGACCTGCGAAGAGCTTGTTTCTCTCAGTCGAAGCCTTCTCAAGTCGATCGAACCTCTCTCTCTCAGTCGCAGCCCTCCGAAGTCCATCGAAGACCTCCGATCCAGTCGTCTCAGTCTCTGTTTCAGTCCATCCAGTCGTCTTCGACCTCCGATCCAGTCGTCTTCGAAGGTAAGCCCCTGTCGCCTCTTTCTCTTTCTCTTTCTCTTTCGCCTCTTTCTCTTTCACTCTCTCTCTCTCTCTCTTTGCTCTGGTTTCGACTCACTCAGACTGAGTATGATTTTTATTTTTTATTTTTTATACGTAAGATTTATATGTAAGATTTTTTATATTGATTCTTATTTCTCTTTTTATTTAAGACTGATGAATCTGATTTTTTTTTTTTTTTTTTTTTTTTTTTTTTTTTTTTTTTTTTTTTTTTTTTTTTGATTTTCATTTGTTTATATGTTTATATACATATATGTAGACTTTTTTTTTTTTGTAATTATATGTTTATATATATGTATATATATAAAACTGTATTTAATAAAAAAATTATAAGTTTA